GGCCCATCCCAACCCATCATTACCCCCCCAATCCAATGAGGGCCCCTCCAAGTCTGGTGAGGGCCCCATAAGCCCAGTGATGGCCCCCTCCCCCAACCTGATGAGGGTCTCCCCAGTCCCCACAGGAGCCCCCCCAATCTAGTGAGGACCCTCCCCAGTACAGATTGACCCTCCCCCATCCCACCAGGGCCTCCTGAGCCAAGCCCGGCCCCCAGAGGCCCAGAGAGCCCCCCTACCCTGAGGGTCTTGTCGGTACTCGTGGTGTAGAGAGATCCCAGCGAGTGCCAGAGCCCCGTGATCTGCAGCTGGTGCCCCACGTCGAAGTACTGGGAGGACACAGGGATCCCCGTGAGGCCTGGGGGGGCACCCAGAACCCCCGGCTCCCCGGCCCCCCATACCCGGAGGGGCTGGAAAACGCCGCCGGTGCTGCCAAAGAGGTAAACGTGGCCCTGGTTGTCCCCGGCCCAGAGCTGGGACCCCCCGTAGGACATGGACAGCAGGTAATTGTCCAGCTGGGAGGGAACATGGCCCTAAATGGCACCTCAGAGGGGGCAGGGACCCCCCCTGGTCCTGAGAGGAGGTCCCTAAACCACTGAGAGCCCCCCGAAGCCCAGAGAGGGGCTCCCCCAGCACAGCATAGGCCTCCCCAAAGCCAGGGATGGTCCCCCCAGACCCAAGGAGCTGCTCCCCAAACCCAGCAGAGGGCCCCCCTCCCAGGCCATTGAGGACCCTGCCAAACCCAGCACAGGCCCCCCCAAGTCTAAAAGGAGCACCCCAACCCAGTGATGGACTCCCCCGACCCAAAAGGGGTCTCCCCATCCCAGCACAGGCCCCCTCCACCCCAACTCAAAAAGGAGTTTCCCAACCCACTGAGAGCAACCCCCCTCTTCCAGCATGGCCCCCCAACCCATTAAGGAGCTCTCCAACCCAGTGATGAACCCTCCAACCCAGCACAAGTTCCCTCCACCCCAGTGAGGGCCTCCCCAGGGACCCCAGTGGAGGCCAGGGAGCCTCCCAGCCCCCCCAGGGGGGGTCAGCCCCACCTGTAGGCGCTGCAGGACACCCCCAGCCCTGCGGTCGAAGACCACCAGGGTTCTGTCCTCGCTGCCCGACACGATGAGTCGCTCGTCGGCCACCAGGGCCAGCACCGCGTTGGCATGGGGCTTGTAACTGCCCACCTGGGCCTGCCCGGCTGCGGGGGACAGGGGGACCCCTGAGACTCCCCAACTGCCCGGCTGGGGGGGCATCAGCAGGACCCTCAAACCCTGATTCCCCCAGTATTGAGACCCCCTAACCCACCAGTCCTGGGATCCTCCCCTCCAGTACTGGGTTCCCCCAATGCTCCCCAGGCTCCCCCATACCTCGGGGGTCGTACACGGTGATGGTTTTGTCGTAGGTGCCGGTGACGAGAATGTCAGGGCCATATGAGAGACACAGCACGGCCGCCTTCTCCCTGGGGGGTTTGGGGGGCCAAGGACCCCCGAGTGGAATGAATGGGCTTAAACCTCATCAAAAACTGGGGTGAGACAGGGAAGGGGGAAACACCCCCCTGGGACTAAGGGGACCCACCGGAACTAAGGGGGACACAGGTGAGGTGGAAACACCCCCTCCAGATATGGCGGGGGATAGGCGAAGTGAGAACAACCCCCTCGGGTTTACCTTCAAATAAAAGTAATAAATTAAATAAAGTTCATTGTTATTATAATATACAATAGCATATTGATATAATGCAGTAATATACAATATATAAATGTATTATATATTAGTATAATAATATATAATTACATCATTATATAATCAATATCAGTATTCTAATACAACACAACATCTAACAATGTAATCTCTGGTATATTAATATAATATTATATAATTATTGTTAATACTAATGCATTATAAAATAAAATATATTCTACCACATCATTATTATACATAATATACTGCTACAGAACACATCTATAAATGTAATTTTGACATAACCTAATAATAGTTAACATACATTACGCCCCAGGCCAGTACCTGATCTCCCCGAATTGCTGCCCCTCAGCCTCCAGGTCCCAGAGTTTGACGGTGCTGTCCCAGGAGCCGGAGCAGACGCGGGACCCGCGCGCGGCCAAGCACCAAACCCAGCCCTAGGGGAACCCAAAAGTGCTGCGGGACTCTCCAGAACACCTCGGGGAGGGGGAGGGGAGGGAGTTTGAAGCCCACCTTGTGTGTCCCACTGCGCCCCGAGCCCAGAGCCTTGACCAGCACCTTCCCGGGGGGGCCCCGGCCCAGCTCCCGCAGGTCCCAAAGGTTCACGTTGCGGTCACGGCCCCCCGAGACACACAGGGAGCCTCCCTGGATTGAGGCGGGACAGGTGAGAGGGGAAACCCTCTGGGAGCTCCTCCAAGATACACAGAGAGCCCCGCCTTGGGTTGGGGGGGGAGAGGTGAGTGGGGAACCCTCCCCCAACTCCCAGGGTCCCACCTGCAGCAGTAGGACGGAGTCCACGGAGGCAAAGTGGCCCTCGTCCAGGGAGAAGTGCTCCATGGGGGCCCCCCCAGCCCCCCAGCGCTCCAGGTGCTCCTCCAGGTCCTCGCACGCGGCCGCCCAGTCGAACCCCGACTCTGGGGGGTGTGGGGGGTGGGGACCGAAAGCAGGGGGGGGCCCAAAGTCATGGGGGGACTCGGGGAGGCACTGGGAGGGTCTCCCAGCCCATCCCAGAGACACCTCAGGGGGAGAACTGGGGGATCCCCCAGTTTCCCATTTCCACCCCCAACCTCCTAAAAGCATCAGACCCACAAATACTTGGAGGGACTCAGGACATCCCACCACCCACCCTGGGGAAACCTTCGGGGTCCCCCAACCCCTGGGGAGTCCTGCACTCCTCCCAGCGTACCATAGGAAAGTGGGGGAGCCAGCGGGGTCCCCAAGGAAAAGCTGGGGGGTTCCCAGCTTCCTCATTCCCTCCCCCCCAGAACCACCTTCGGAGCATCAGACCCACAGACAACGGGGGGGACACAGGAGATCCTCCCGACCACCCCAGGGAACCTTTGGGGTCCCCCAAGGCCGAGGGGGTCCCGGCCGCCCTCAAACCCACCTGGCAGCGGGGGGAGGGGGCGCCGGGCGCACTGCTGGAGCCTCAATCGCCAGGACAGGCTGTCCCGGGCCAGGTCCCGCAGCGCTCGGCACACCCGGGGTAGGATCCGCCGCACGTCCCGCGCCCGCAGGAACCCGCAGATCCGCAGCAGCACCTCCGGGGGCAGCGCCAGAAGCCCCCCCGGAACCCCCCTGCCTGTTCCCGCCCGCCCCTGCCTGGAGCGGGACCGTGGAGGGGTCCCGGGGGCTCTCGGGCTCTTCTGACTGCCGCTCGGGGTCCGAGGGGGTGGCGGGGGCCCGTCCATGGCTGGGGGGTTAGGGGCGGGAGGGTCAGTACTGAGAGACCACCGGGAGACGGTGGGGATCCCCCCGGGTCCGGTATTGCCCACCCGGTCCGTGACAAGGAGTGACTCCCCCTCCCCGATCCCCCCAAACCCTCTGGTACGGGGACCACCCCAACCCAAATACACCCGGTAGAGGGACCCCCACGTCTCGATCCCCCCGAATCCCTCGGTACCGAGACCACTCCCCCACCCAGACCTTCTTTTAGCTCCCGGTACGGGGACCCGCCCCAAGCCCTCAACACACTCCCAAACCCTCCCGGTATCGGGTCCCCCCGACCAGATCCGCGATACTGGGACCCGCCCCAACCCCGACCTCATCCCATCCAAACCCCCCGAGCCCCCTTCAGACCCCCACAAATTCCCCCCTTCCCGCCCCCTCCTGGTACCGGGTCCGGGCCCCGCCGCGTCCCGTCGCCACGGCCACGGTTGGACCCGCTTCCGGCGCGCCCACGAACCCACCAATGACCCTCAACCCTTGGCGTGACACAATCAAAGCGGCGCCGGAAGACACCCGCATGCGGCCCCAGTGGGACCCACGTGCTCCCCGCGACCCTCCCCGGATCCCCCAACTTCTCCCGCAATCCCCCCATTGCCCCCACCCCGGAATAAACAGCACCGACACAGCGCACGGTCAACAACGGCCTTTTTTGTGCCGCCCCGCGCGACACAACCACCCCCCGGCCCCTATCCCCACTCCTCCTCCCCTCCCTCCCCCCCGTAAACGGTAAAAAACGGAACAAAACGGGCAAAATCAAACACGTGGCACCGACTCGCTCACAACGAAGTACAACGGCGGCCGCCCGCCCCGACCCCCCAAGCCCCAGGCACGGGGCTCTTCACGTGTTGCTATGCATGTGTAGGAGGCAGGGGTGGAGGCTCCATGCGGGGTGGGGGGCGACATGGGAACACGAGGGAGGACGACACAGAGGAACCGACCCCCCTCAACGGGAACGGGGACCCTTCAGCCCCGAATTTTGCCCACTCCCTCCAAAGTTTTTGGGCCTCCCCCCCCAGGATTTTGGGACCCTTCAGCCCCAATTTGTGACCCTCCCAAGGGCTTTTGGGGCCCCCTCCCACCAGGGAAACTGGGACCCCCCTTTTTGGACCCTTCAGCCCTGATTTCTGACCCTCCCAAGAGTTTTGGGCCCTCCCCAAGGTTTGGGGTACCCCCCCAGGGTTTTGGCCCCCTCTCCCCAAATTTGGGGGGGCCCCCCCAGAATTCTGGGACCCTTCGGCCCCGATTTTTGTTTCCCCCTGTAGGGTTATGGGCCCCCCCCCAAGGAAACAGGGACCCCCCTTTTTGGACCTTCCCAAGGGTTTGGGGGTCCCCCCCATGGTTTAGAGCCTCCTCAAGTTTTAGGGGCCCTCCCTGGGTTTTGGGACCCTTTATCCCCGATTTTTGACCCTCCCAAGGGTTTTAGGGTCCCTCCCAAGGTTTTAGGGCTCCCACCCGCCGCGGGCCCCCCAACCCCTGCGGCCCCACCCGCAGCCCCCCCTCCCTTTATCCTCCCCTGGCGGGGGGTCAAACCACTCTCAGGACCCCCGACCCTCCCCGGGGGGCTGTGGTGGGGACCCCACTCCCGCCCCCCTCGGGGTCCTCGGCCGTGTCCCCTTGGGGGTCCTGGTGCCGACCTGAGGGAGGAGAGCAGAGATTTTAGGGGGGGGGGGTGTCTGCACACCCCAGGGGGGTTGTGGCTGTGCCTCCCCCATTTTTGGGAATGCTGGGCCCCCCCACATACCTGTTTAAGGGGTCTCCCCCTGGCTCAGACCCCATAAAATGCTGCCAGTCGGTCCTTGAGGAGGGGGGGGAACTGCTCCGAAAACTGCTGCCAGTTCTCCTCACCGACCTGGGCCTTGAAGCCATGCAGGATCTTCGGGGGGGGTGTTAAAAATAAAGATAAGAGCCCTGCTGAACCCCCCCAAAATGGAGGGGTCCTCAGATCCCACCCTGGGCTGCGGATACCTTGTAAAACATGTCCCTCAGGTCATCCTTGGGGCTCACCCAGGATGCGACAGCATCGCAGAAGAAGATGAAATCCTGGGGGGGTGGGGAATTTGGGAGGGTGGGGCAGCAAAATGGGGACAAATTAAAGGGCGACACACACATCAATGGTAGGGTGAAGTGGGGGGACACAGAAGCCCCTTCCTCCCCTCTGGCCCCCTCCCCCCTCCAAATTTTGCCTTGAGCCAAAGAGACCTTGCAAAAATCACCCCATCAAAAGGGTTTGGGTTCCTGCTCACCCCCAGCTCAGGGGGAGCCCACAGCCACCCTGTGCTCTCCAGGGCCTCCAAAACGAGGCACCCACCACTCAAAACACCCCTGGGGACCACCCAAGGCCCCGAGGATCCCCCACCTGCACAACCCCCCCGGGGTTCACCCCGATCATGACACAGATCCCCCGGAAGGCCGAGTCCTTCTCCTCATTGTCGCGAATGTTCCGGAGCGATGTGCACCTTACGGGGGAAAACTGAGGTTCAACACCTCCCACCCTGAAATTCTGGGGGGGTTAGGGACCCCTAAAAGCCCCCCAAACTCACCAGGGCCGGATAAACTGCTGCAGCATCGGGGCCACCTCCTGAGGGCACACAAAGCCAAGGCGCCCGATGGTGATGGCTGGGGGGAGAGATTGAGGATTTAGGAAGGCTTGAGGATTTTAGGGGAGAGTTTTGGAGGGCTTGAGGATTTTGGGGGAGAGTCCCTAGCACCCAACAGGTTGGGGGGGTCCCTCTGTGCTCCCCCAGCCCTCACCCGTGTTCTCCAGGAGCGTTTTGGGGGTGTTGGGGCGGTTGATGATCTCCACGAGGTTAGTGAGGACCATCTGCACGTAGGGTTGCATTTCTGCTCCTGGGTGGGAAAAGCAAGGAGGGGGTCAAGTGAGGTTTGGGGGGGCTGGGGGAGATTCAGGTTAGTTTTTGGGGGCGTCTCAGACGGGTTTTTGGTGGGTCTCACCCATCTGCATGCAGATCTCCCCAATAGCCCAGGTCGCGTTGTTGCAGACGGAGATGAACTCAGGGTTCAGGTTGGTGCCCAGGATAGGCATGAATTCAGCTGGGGAGGGGGACACAGGTGAGCCCAGAAACCCCTCCCTCAGCTTTGGAGGTGTCTCCCCACTTGAGGACGCCCAGAACCCACCGATACAGGGCTTGACATGCACAAAACAGGCCTTGGTGAGGTCGCCCAGGAGGGCGAAGGAGCTTTGCCGCACCTCGGGCATCGTGTCCTGTGGGGACAAGGGGAGTTTGGGGGGGGTCCTGGTGCCCCACAGAGGCATTTGGGGGGTCATGGGGGGTCCCCTCTCACCTGCATGCACTGGAAAAGCAGCGTCATGATGTTGGAACGGGCCACCAGCTGCTCCACGTGGCCACCGAGCCCCTCGGCGAGGCCACTCAGCAGGTCCAGGGCCACGATCATAAAATCCTTGTCGGGGGCTTCGTATTGCTCAGGGTGCTGGTTGTACATCTAGGGTGGGCAAGGAGGGTTCGGCACCACAGGGAGAAGACTGGCACCCCCCGGGGGTCCCCAAAATGCCACAAGATGGGGCTCACCATGGCCTGGGCGAGGGTTTTCTGAACCAGGGTGACGCAGCGCTGGTACACGGGCTCGCAGTAGGGCAGGAACCCACTCTGCAGGGCCGTGGCCACGGAGGACAGGCACTGCGGGGACACTCTGAAACAGGTCAGGCAGCCCCCCCACCCAAAACAAGGTGTGTATGTCCCCCGACTTGGGGGATCCCCCCAGTTTTGGCTGGAGCCAAAGGAAGCCCCCAAAGGGAGGTTCCAGTCCCTGTTCCCTCTCAGCTCAGGGGTAGCCCCCATCCTCCCCACTCTCCAGATCCCCCCAAAATGAGGTACCCCCTCCCCCTCAAAACAGCCCTGGGAACCCTCCAGACCCCAGGCCCCCCCCCCTCAAACACACCTCCAGCAGTGGGAAAAGGTCTTTGTCTTCGTCCTTGAGCTCGTTCCACTTCTGGATGAGCGGTGGCATCAACTTCTGGATGTACTCCTGAGGCCAGGGAGGGTCACGTGAAGGGGGGGACACCCAGTGGGGCATGGGGGACACATGGGGGGATGTGGGGGGAAGGCCCCCCCCAGCCCTGAGACCCTCAGAGCAAAGAGATCCACACTGGGAGTTCGGGATTCGAATGTCACGTCATCACCGGGCTCAGGCTGGGGGTTTGGAGGGCACCAGGAGCCCTGAGACCCACCGGCTGGTTGAGGTGGTGGCCCACAGAGTCAGCCAAGGTGCCGATGGCGTCGTAGAGGATGAGCAGGTTCTTGTGCTGGTACTTCCCGAAGGCGAAGACCAGCGTGTCCAGGATGAAGCTCAGGTATGGCACCAGCTCCGTGCAGGCCTCCTCCTCCAGAGTGGCAAATGCACTAGAGGACCCCAAAAAGGGGTCAGGGAGCCCCTAAACACCCCCCAGGAACCCCAGACCTGGGGGAACCCCCCCCCCACCCCGGGTCAGACAGTACGAATCTCGCCGTCGTCACGGGAGTCGGTGACAGAGATGTCATCATCCCCGGAGGGGCCCAAACCCAGCCCCGCCTGGGCCCAAATCACCCCCAGGCCCCCCAGTCTGACCTGTCACCCCACCTGCCCTCTTCCCTGCCACGCCCCGTGTTCCTCTCCGGTGCCCCCCAAGGCTCCACTGTCCCAGTCCCCCCAGTCTCACCTGCAGGCTGCCTCCTGCACCCGTTTGTTGCTGTCAAGGATACGCTGGAGCAGTTCTGTCATGAGCGGCTTCAGGTAGAGCTCAGGGGGCTGCGCGACCACCCAGTGGGCATAACGGCTCAGGGTCCAGCAGGCGATGGAGCGAACCAGGGCCTTCCTGTCCGCCAGGCACCGGATCAAGTGCGGCACCAGCTCGGGCAGGTATGGCACCATGCCCTGCATGCAGCCTGGGGGGGACAGAGGAGGTCAGAGACACTCCCAGTAAGTAGCCAGGCTCCCCCCAGGTATCGTTTTGGGGGGTCACCTTCAGCGATGGCCCCCAGGACCAGGATTCCTGACTCCTTGACCACCCACTCCAGGTGGAACAGCAGCTCCTTGAGCAACGGCAGCAGGTGGGGCAGCAGCTCCTCCCGGAACACGTTGGCCAGAACGTCCAGGGCGGCGGCCGAGCACTTACCTGGGCACAGGTGAGGGGATTAATCACCCCCCTGGACCCTCACAGGTCCCCCAAGTCCTTGCCCAGCCCCCCTTACGCAGGTTCCAGTCCGACAGGGTCTCGTCATCGTCCTCGTCATCGCCATCCCCGTCGCCATCCCCGCCCCGCTGCTCCTCGTGTGCCAACGTCACCGTGCGGGACTTGTGGAACCGCGGCTTGATGTCCTGCTCACTGTCCGGGACAGCCTCGTCCTCCTCCACATCCCCCTGGGGGGGGTATTGCAACATGATGTCGTTGTATCGCAACGTGACATCGTTTGTCGCGACACGGGGACCCCCGGGGGCCCCCCCCCGGATCAGACAGTACGAACACAACACCCATCACAGGGCTCAGTACAGGAGTGTCATCATCTCCAAGGGCTGAGGGCCTCCCAGTGACACCAGTATGGCCCCTAGGAATTCCAGTGCCCCCTCCCAGTCCTCCCAGTTACACCAGTACAGCCCTCAGTGACACCAGTGCTCCCTCTCAGTGCCCACCTTGAGCAGGATGATGTCGATCTCTGAGTATCTCATCCCATGCACCAGGATTGGGATCAGCCTGGGGAGAGCACGGGAGGGTCAGGCAGGGCTTGGGGGAGATTTGGGAGGTTTCTGGGATGTTTTTGAGGCACCTCAGGGTATGTTTTTCAGGTCGCTTACTGCACCAGGTGTGCTGTCAGCACATCCTTGCAGATGGGGGGGCCTTCGGGGTGAATTTGGGGGGTGTTTCTGGGGGGTTTGGGGTCACTCACTGCACCAGGTGCGCTGTCAGCACGTCCTTGCAGATGGGCTGCTCTGCCAGTGTCAGCCAGAACTCACAGGCTTCCAGGGCCACATTCTCGTCACTGTCCTGGGTCCTCTGCAGCATGTACTGGGGCGTGGAGAAGGGCAGGTGAGACCCCTGTGGGCCACAGGGTCCCCCCACCTGCCCTCCAACCATTCCTCTCAAACTGCCTCTCAAACAACCTTCACATCCTCCTAAATTATCCCTCCCTTTGCACCCCAAACCCAACCAAGCCCTCCCCTGAATGATGCCGTACATGTGGGGCAGCACCCGTACATCCTTCCCCCAGACCCCACAAACCCCCTCACCTGGATGATGCTGTACATGTGGGGCAGCAGGCGGTCGATCCTCACCTCCAGCAGCATCACCAGCGCCCGACACACGTTCTTCCTCACCTCGGGATCCTCATCCACGGCCAGGGCAAATAGGTGCTGGGGGGATTGCGGGTCACAGGTGAGCTCCCCTGGCCCCCCTCAGAGCCCCCCGATCGCTCCCTGGCCCCCCCTGACCTCAATGAAGGTGTCGATGTTCTCCATCAGCGCCTGCGCCCGGTCCATGATGAACTGGTTCACGCAGGCGATGGCGTGAGACCTGCACACAGGCATTTGGGTGGGATTATAGCGGTTGGAGGTGGCACCTGGACACCCCCAAACTCACGTGAATCCCTCAAACACTCCTGAACACCCCTGAACTCAGCTGCCCCCCCCCCCCAAAAAGCCCCAAACCCAGCTGGACTCTCAGTGCTGAATTTGGGGGAGACACATGGAGCGACACTGGGGTCCAAGTGCCTTCCCTGCAGCTGATTTTAGAGCTGCAGTGCCTGAAAAACTGCAGGAACTCAGGAATTTTGGGATCAGGAATTTCAGGATGAGGACCCAGGAGAGTCAGCTAACTTTGTGATCGAGTGGCTCAGGAACGGACCCCCAGCATTCCCACCTGTCTGAGACCCCCCACACCTGACCACAGAGTGCCCCTGTACCTGATCTTGGGGCTGCAGTGCTTGAAGAACTGCAGGAATTTCGGGATCATGACGTTAAGGGGCCTGTTCAGGGCATCACTGTCCAGCAACTCGGAGGAGTCCTCACAAATCTTCTGCAGGGCCCCAAAAGCCCCCTGGGCATAGCAAATCAGGGAGGGGGGTGTCAGCCTCTGCCACACCCCCCTAGGTGCCCCCAGGTGCCCCCCACACCTCGCAAGTGTTGTAATCCTCAGAGTTGAGAAGGTTGCAGAGCTGGGGCAGCAGCTCTGGCCACATCTGCAGCTCCCCTTTGGAGGCGATGGTGGTGATCAAGATGCCTGAAAAACAGAGAAAGGTAAGTTTTTTTGGGGGGTTGGGGGTTCCCTGGGGGTCTCCTGGCCCCCTACTCACCGATGGTGGCCCGGATGAGGGAGGAGTTGTCACCCAGGTGGTTCAGACACTCCTGTTTGATGAACTCGGCCACAGGCGGCGGGAAGCTCTGGAAATGTGCTTTCACATTGTTCTTCAGGATGAGGCCGCTCAGGGAGCGCGTGGGTTCGTCTAGGGGGGGCCAAAGGGGACTTGGGGGCACCGCAGGGTAAAGCCCACCCTGGTGCCACCCAGAGGGCTCCAATAGCCCCCAAATATCTCTGTCAGCCCCCCAAACAGCTCCAATGGTATCAAAATACAACTATCATCCCTTAAATAGTCCCTGCTATCCCCCAAATACCTCTGACACCTCTGAAATGACTCATCCTGGGGGGAGGGTTGGGGAGACACGTGGGGGCCGTAGACCACAAATCCCAAGCTGGTACTACCCAAAAGGCTCCAATATCCCCTAAACGGCTCTGATGGCCCCCAAAGGGCTTGCCCTGGCGGGGCAAATAGAGAGGTTTGGAGGTGCCGGGAGAGGGGGGCCATGGGGACTAAATTCCTCCCCCCCCCCAGTGCCCCCCAAACGGCTTTGATGGCCCCCAAACGGATTTGCCCTCCCCTCCCCCAGTCAGTCTGCCCCTCCCAATACCCATCACCCTCTCCAGGACCCCCTGTCCCCCCAGACGCCCCCAATCACCTCTGCCCACCCCCAGACACTGCCCCAGCCTTCCCACCTTCGGACTTGAGGCGTGTGAGGACGAAAATTAGGTAATTGTTGAAATCGGGGAACTGGTTGAGCTGCTTCAGTTTCTGGGTAGGTGTTAAGGAGGCATTTCGGCAGGAATAGGGGAGACACTAGGTCCTGGGGGGATGGGACAGGACTTGTGGGGGGGAGTCAGGAGAGAGGAAGGGGTATAGGAACAGGACACGGGGCTGGAGAGGCCTCGCAGGGGGGTGGGTCACAGGAACAAGGAGAGGGACATGGAAACAGTGACAAGGATGGGGGTTCATAAGGAGGACGGGACACAGGAATGAAGGCACAATAATGGGGAGAGGGACAGGGGGGTTTCAAGGGTAGGGAGACACAGAGAGTGATAACAGCAAAGGCAAAGAGCACATAGGGACAGAGTTGGGGGGGAACAAGGGACCCCTATCCACCTCCCCCCCACCCATCTGAGAGGTCACATCTTCCCTCCCCGATGGTCCTAGAGACCCCCAGACGCCCCCAGGAGAGGATACATCCTGCACCACGCGCTGTGTTGCCGTGTTGGGCGACTGCGAGTCCTTGAGCAGCTGCAGGACCTGCTGCAGCCCCTGCTCGTCCGGTTGCCAGTCCATGGCCAGCCCGGGGGTATGCTCCTCGAGGGTCTTGGGGGGGTCTCGGGGGTGTCCTCGGGGGTCCCGGAGGCAGCAAACGGGGAAGGGGTGCAGTCCTTGGATCACTGAGGGGAGAGGGGAGTGGAGCTCGGGACAAGGGGGGGTCCTGGGGCTACCCCCGATGGACTCGGTACCGGGGGAGCGGGGAAGGGGCTGTGGGGACCCCCCAAAGAGAAGGAGGGAGCGGGGGAGGGGCCCGCGGGCCGCGCACGTGGGACAGGGAATGGCGGGAGGAAACGGGAGGGGGGGTAGCGGGGGTGTCCCCTCCTAGTTCTCTCTCGGGCTAAACCCAACCCCACTCCCTCCATCTCGCCGCCCCCCCGGGACCCTAATTCTGCCCTCGAATCCCCGATCCCCTGCGGGATCCCTCATACCCCCCAACCCCAGCTCCTCACTCCCCCCGAGCCCCCTTTTTAACCTCCTTGAGATCCCCGCTGCCTCCCCTGGGACCCCTGATTCCCCCTCCCGTCTTCTTTTTCTGCTCCTCGAGACGCCCCAATTCTCCCCCCGAACCCCCTTCTCAACGCTTTCAAGAGCCCCAAGCCTCGCCGGGACCCCCGGTTCCCCATCCCAACTCCCCTCCCTTTCCCGGGACCCCCAATCTACTCCCGAACCCCCTTTTCACCGCCCTAGAGACCTTCACCCCCCGCCAGGATTCCCGATCCGCCCCGGGGACGCCCCATCCGCCCCCAGGCCCCTCGCGCCGTTTCCCGCCGCCTCCACACTGCTGGTACCTGCCCGAGGGGGGTCCCGGTGCCCGGGGGGGCCCAAGGGGGGTCTCGGTGCCGGGGGGGGTTGTCGGAGCGCGGCCGGGGGGGTCTCGGTGCTGCCCCCCCTGACCCCCGCGGGCCACCGTCCGCGTCACGTGCGCCAGGGGCGGGGCCAGGCCGGGAAGGGGCGAGGCCAAAGTGAGGAACGGGCGGAGTCAAAGAGCGCGTGCGCAGAGTTCTCGAGACTGAGGATGAACTACAAGTCCCGGCGTGCAGCGCGCGCGAGACAGACCATTGTCGGGGAAACGGGGGAAGACGGACTCCCTCCGCCCCCCACCACCCCCGCGAGCGGCGACGGGTGGGGGGACCGCAGGGAAGAACCGGGAGGGATTCAGAGGGGACTGGGAGTTAGGGGAATTGGGAGTACCTGGGAGGATTCGGGGGGAACTGGGAGTGGGTTCAGGGAAACTGAGGTGACTATGATAGGGTTCGTAGGGAACTGGAGGCCTGGGACTGGAATTGGGAAGGGGGTCAGGGGGCTCTGAGAGAGGGAACTGGCCGTGCCCGACCTCCTCCTCCCCCCACCCCTTAAATTTTATTGAGGTTAAAAAGGGCAAACCCGGTGAAAATTCAGCACTTGGGGGAGGGTGGCAAATCTCAGGAGCCCTGCAAAAGCAAGATGCCCCTCTGTAGGAGAAGCTACACCGAGAACACCAGCCACTCAGATGATAAACTACTAAAGTAAAAACATCGTGATCCTGAGTGAGCTAGAGCAGAGATCAGTGCTCGTGAAAACAATTCCCGTGTCAGGCCGGAATGGCCCCCGAGGCAGGGTTGTTCCTTGGGGCCAAAGGAGCTGCGGGGCGTGAGCGGGGAGGGGCCTGGCTTGAGAGCTGGGCCCGCTGTTCTGTGGATATTGAGGTCATAAAGTTATGAATCAGTGCTACCTGGGCAAAGCCTCTCTCCTCCCCCCTCCCCAAATCCCAGGAGCCCTCAAAAACTGCCTGCCCCCCCAAACAAGAGTGGAGCCCCTTCCTCAAATCCTGGAAGATCCTCAAAAACGTCTCAGCACCTCTGAAACCTCCAAGTTCTTTAATTCTGCGCCACTCCCCCCCCCCCCCCCAAATCCATAATTTGCCCCCAAAACGCACCGGGGGGGGGAGTGGGTGGAGGGGGAGGGGCAGCACCAAGGCTGCCCCCAGACTCAAGTCCAGGTTTGGGGGAGGAGGTGGCCCTGGAGGGTGGAAGGGGGATGTAGAAAAGGGGCAGGGCTGGCACCTCCCCCCCTTAAAGAGGTGTTTGAGGAGGCCACAGGTGGAACCCCCCACCTTGGACAAGTATTTGGGGGGGTCTCTAGAGCCCCCCCCAGCCAGCTTTTGGGGGTGGGGGGGGCCAGTGCTATTTGACCACTCTTTTGGGGACAGGACTCCCCTCAACCAGGTAATTTTGGAGGGCATGGTGGCGCTATCTGACCAGGGATTTTTGTGGATCCCAGGAGCCCCCTGGTAGGTCTTTGGAAAAGGGGTGGAGGGTGGGGTGGCACTATGTGACCAGGTATTGTGGGAATCTGAACCTCCCCAGGCAGCTTTTTTGGGGACTGGGACCACCCCAGGGCAGTCTTTGGGGTGGAGGACCAACGTTATTTGACTGGTTTTTTAGGGGTCTGGGACCTCCCCTCACCCAGGTTTTTGGGGGGGTGGTCTGGCACTATTTCACCATTTTTCTCGGAGTCCCAGGATCCCCCACCCCCAGGCAGGTTATCTGGAGGGGAGAGGGGGCAGCGCTATTTGACCAGGGATTTTGGGGGTTGCAGGACTCCTGATTCCCCTGGGCAGGTTTTTTTTTTAGAGGGGTAGACACCGGTGCTATTTGACGAGTTTTCTGGGGGTCACAGGACATTCCCCTGGGAAGATTTCTTTGGGGAGGAGCTGGTGTTATTTGACCATTTTTTTTGAGGTCCCAGGCTCCCCCCCCCGGGGTGATTTTGGGGGGGGGCCGGCGCTATTTGACCAGGGGCCGTGTCTTGTCGTCGTCGCTGCACTGGTGGGCTTTGTACTTCTGCACCTCCGCCAGGTACTTGGCCCAGGCGTCGCCTTTACTCGTCAGCACCTGCCCCAAAAACCCCCCCCAGGTCATCCCAAAAATCCAGGGGGGACATGGGCCCTCAGTCCCACCCCTCGGGGACCAATTTCTTCCCCCAGGACCCTCAATTTCCCCTCCACCCCAGGAGCCCCAATTCTCCCTCTAAAGAGAGCAAGTTTCACCCCAGGATCCACCCAATTCCCCGCCAGCACCCCTCCTGGGACCCCCCACTTCGCTCCCGTGGCCCTCCCATCCCCACTCAGAAACCCCGAATTTCCCCCTGGGACGCTCAATTCCCCTCCCCAGGATCCCCAATTCCCCTATGGAACCATCTTTTCCCCCCTTAGCGGACCCCCAATAGATCCCTTACCTCCCTTGATCTTCCCAGTTCCTCTCCTAGGACCCCCAGTGCCCCCTCCGCCACCCAGGAACACTAATCCACCTCCCCAAACCCCCTCACGCTCCCCCCAGGATCCCCAGTCCCCCTCCAATCCCCCCCAGACCCGCCCCAAGACCCACCTCCTCGTCAGTCTTCTGTTTCTTGGCCACCACTCCCGTTTTCAGGGCTAGTTTGTTGCCCCCCCTCCGCCGCCCCACCTAGGGGTGGACATACCCACCCCGTCACCGGAACCCTCCGAAACTGGGGGGGGAATCAGGGACCCCCGGGGGGGGGTGGCACTGGACCCGGGGGGAGGGGAAACGGGGATCAAAACTGCCCTGAAAGCACCCAGAACGGGGTGGAAAAGGGACAGCGAGGGGGGACCGGGACCGAGGAGGACCCCGGGGACGGCACCGGGAAGACACCGAGGAGCCTCCGGGAGCACCTCCCAAGGACCCCTTGTCAGCGGCCCCGCGATCTCCTCGGGGCCGGTTTCCCCGGTGCCGTTACTCCCCGCGCCCCCTCTTCCTTACAAAGCCGAGCGCTCCGCCGCTCCTCTTCGCCCCGTCCCCCCCTCGCTGCGCGCCGGGCCCGCCGCTCCCGGTGGTGCCGCCGCCATCACCGGCCGCCGCCGCCGCCGCCTCGCGTTCGCGCTGCTGCTGCTCCTCCGCCTCCATCTTGCGCTTGAAGAGCTCCAGAAAGCTGCCGTCGTTGGCGAACACGTTGACGCCACCGCCAGGACCCGGCGGGGGCGGCGAAGGCGCCTCGGGGCCCTCCGCGGCCTCGGGGCCCTCCCGGTCTTCGCCGCGCGCCGCCATCTTGTCGCCCCGTCCGCCGCCGCCGCCACTGGCGCGCCACAGTGATGTCAGCGCGACCGGCGCGCGGTGATGGCGTCGCGTTGCCCGGCAACGCGCGGAGCGCTCGGCGCTGCCCTCCGCCTTCCGCGCGGGATTGACGGTCGAGAAGACCAATGGAGAGGAAAGAAAGGGTGGGAGGGGCGTGGTGGCAACCAACCAGCGCGCGGTGGGCGGTGCCGTGGGGAAGATGGCGGCGGCGGGAGGAGGAGGAGGAGGAGGGTGGGTGGCCGAGGGGCCCGAGGAGTTCGAGGACGCACCCGACGTGGAGCCGCTGGAGCCGACCCTTGCGAACATCATCGAGCAGCGCAGCCTTAAGTGGATCTTTGTGGGCGGGAAGGGCGGAGTGGGGAAGACGACGTGCAGGTGAGGGGGGGGGCGGGGAACGGGAACAAGGACGGGAACCGGGGGGAAACGGGATGGGGTGGGATAGGGGGGAACGGGACAGATCCGGGGATCGGGATGGACTGGGCGAGATCGGGACCGGGGAACGTCAAGGGGATCGGGTCGAGGTAGTACCGGACAGCCCGCGAGGGAATCGGGATGGGCCGGGATGGGATGGGGCGGTTAGGACATATTGGGGAGGACTGGACAGACTGGGGGGAATTGCGGTGGAGTGGGGAGGATTGGGACGGGGGAACAGGGAGAAATGGGGAATCGGGCAGACATAGAGGAATCAGGATGGTCTGGGGGGATTGGGTTGGGATGGGGGGAACGGGAGATACCGGGGGAAACAGGACCCAGGGAGGGTGGTGGGGATTGGGACAGGGAGTGGGCGGGACCAGAAGGGGGGAGATGGGGACAATGGGGACCAGGAACGGGATTGGAGGGGGATATTGGGATGGGATGAGACAGGGAACTGGGCTTGGAGGTGATCAGAATGGATTGGGGAGATTGGGATGGACTAGGGGCATCAGGACCGATTGGAGGAGACTGGGATAGGATGGGGGGCATCAGAACATGGCCGGGGGTTCACACACACAGCCCCCCAAGCCTCCCGGTTCCTGTTCCAGCTGCAGCCTGGCTGTGCAGTTGTCCCGGGTCAGGGAGAGCGTCCTGATCATCTCTACTGACCCCGCTCACAACATTTCTGACGCCTTTGACCAGAAATTCTCCAAGGTGCCCACCAAAGTCAAGGGCTATGACAATCTCTTCGCCATGGTGGGTCCCCCGTGGGGGGCTTAGGGGGTGTTGGGGGCGTTTTGAGGGGGATGTAGGGTGTCCCTGGGCAGTGCTGACCGTCTCGTTCACGGGAGATCGACCCCAGCGTGGGGGTGCGTGAGATGCCCGAGGGGTTTTGGGGAGGTGTCGGGGGAATTTTTGGGATGGTTTTTGGAAGGTTTTGTAGCAGATGTTTGGACTGTTTTGGGTGGGTTTCTGGATCAGTTTGGGAGGGTTTTGGGGGTCCCCGGGCAGTGCTGACCCCCCTCTGAACAGGAGATCGACCCCAGCCTGGGGGTGGCCGAGCTGCCCGATGAGTTCTTTGAGGAGGACAACGTGCTGAGTATGGGCAAGAAGATGATGCAGGAAGCCATGAGCGCCTTCCCCGGCATTGATGAGGCCATGAGCTACGCCGAGGTCATGAGGTGAGGAGCTAGGGGGCTTTGGGGGAGTCCTGGCCTCACTGATTTGCCCCCCAGGGCTGAGGTGGGGTCCAGGCCCCCCTGGCTCCACAGGAAGGGGCTGAGCAGGGGGGAGTCAGCTCTGCTGACCACCCCCCCAACCCCTCAGACTGGTGAAGGGGATGAATTTCTCCGTGGTGGTCTTTGACACAGCCCCCACGGGGCACACATTGCGGCTGCTCAACTTCCCCACCATCGTGGAGCGGGGGCTGGGCCGGCTCATGCAGATCAAGAACCAGATCAGCCCCTTCATCTCCCAGGTGGGGGCCTGAGGGGGGTCCCAGGGGGTCTGGTCTCCCCAAGCTGAGGGGGTTGGGTTTTGGGGGACCGGGAGCGGGGGCTGGGCCAGCTCACGCAGATCAAGAACTGGATCAGATCAGCCCCTTCATCTCCCACTGGGGGCCTGAGGGGGGTCCCAAAGAGATCTGGGATCCCACCCAGGCGAGGGGGTGAGTTTGAGGGTCTGGGGTGTCACCACCAGCCTGGGGGGGGAGGTATTGGGGTGTCACCAGCCTAGGGTGGAGTGGGGAGGTATTGGGGGGTCTGGAGCTGTGGGGGTGAGTTTAGAAGGTCTGGGGTCCCCCCCAACTGGGAGGTGGGTCTGGAGGGTCTGGGGTCCCCCCAGCTGGAGGTGGGGGAGATTGTGGGGGATCTCACAGCTGTGCCCTCCCCCAGATGTGTAACATGCTGGGGTTGGGGGACATGAACGCTGACCAGTTGGCCTCCAAACTGGAGGAGACCCTGCCTGTGATCCGCTCCGTCAGCGAGCAGTTCAAGGACCCGGTGAGGCGGTGGGGGGGCTGGGCAGGGGGGCTAGGGGGTCCTGGGGGTCTCAGGGGTTCCCAGGAGGGCACAGAGGGGCACAGTGGGTCTAGGGGCGGTGGGATGCCAGGGAGGGAAGAAGGACAGTGCCCGTGATGTGCTGTGTCAATGAGAAGTTCAAGGGCCTGGGTGCGGGGTTGGGGAGGGTCCTCGGGGGAAGCTGGGGGGCGCTTGGGGGGGCCCAGGTGCTGCAGGGGAGTTGGGGGAATGGAGTCCCAGGGAGGAGGGTGGGGACAGGGACGGGGACAAGCGAGTTGGGGCACATTCCTGAGTGCAATAAACCCCCCAAAGACAGGCAGGGACAGGAATGAGGACAAGAGACCCCCCAGGGCAGGGATGGGATGGGCTCAGGGGCAACGACCCCTCGAGGCCGTGTGGGTGGCTGGGACCGCAGGGGGAACGTGAAGGTGAACGCTGCGTGTGTCCCCGTGTCTCTGAGTGCCACGTCAGTGTGTCCCCACGTTTCCATATCCCTTATTACTATGCGTGTCAGCGTGTCCCCGTGTCTCTGGGTGCTGTGTCACCGTTTCAATGTGTTTCCACGTCATTGCGTCCTTGTCCTCGGTGTCACTATGTCACTATGTCCGTGTGACCAATGTCCTCCTGTGCCTGTGTCACTGTGTGCTTAGGTCACCCTGTTCTTCTGTTGCTGTCTGCATCCCCAGGAACAGACTCGGTGTTTGCATCACCGAGTTCTTGTCGTTGTGTCTGTCACTGAGCCTGTCCCTGTGTCCCCACATCACGTTGTCCCGTGTCCCCGTGTCACACTGTTGCTGTGTTCGTGACTCTGTCTCTGTCCCTGGCAGCAGTCACGTTACTGTCCCTGTCGTCGTCTCTCGTTCCTACGAGCATGCCACCTTTATCTGTGCGCACATCGCCGAGTTCCCGTTCCCGTGTCTGTGTCCGCGCGTCACTGTCCATGTGTCACTGTCCCCATCCCAGGAACAGACCACCTTTATCTGCGTGTGCATCGCTGAGTTCCTGTCGCTGTACGAGACCGAGCGGCTGATCCAGGAACTGGCCAAGTGCCGCATCGACACCCACAACATCGTGGTCAACCAGCTCGTGTTCCCCGACCCGCTGCGGCCGTGCCGCATGTGCGAGGCCCGGCACAAGATCCAGGCCAAGTACCTGGACCAGGTGATCTCCCCTGGGGGGGCAGGGGACAGGTAACCTCACCAGAGGCCAGGGGGACAAGTTTGGGGATCCTTTGGCACCCCTGGCCAAGTACCTGGACCAGGTAACTGTCACCTGCAGGCACGGAGGGTCTAGGGGGCCCAGATACCTGGATCAGGAAGAGAGGAGGTGCTTGGGTGGGGACCTTGGGGTCTGGGACCCCCTTCAAGGTCCCGAGTGGATCAGAGGGGATTTGGCGGGTCAGAGGGGCTTTGCGGGGGGGTCCCACTCTGACATCTGCTGCCCGACGGAGGGATGTGTATGAGCATTTCCAGATGGTGAAGATGGAGGGTGAGGGGTTAGGGGGTTTTGGAGTCTGGACGCATGGAGGGGGTCAGAGTGGGTTTAGGGTGGTCAGAGGGGGTTTGGGGGGGTCCCTTTTGACCCCCCATGTGACCAACCCACAGATGGAGGACCTGTACGAGGATTTCCACATCGTGAAGCTGCCGCTGCTGCCCCACGAGGTGCGGGGGGGAGACAAGGTCAACACCTTCAGCTCCCTCCTGCTGGACCCCTACCAGCCCCCCAGCCCCAAATAGCCCCCCCAGGCCCCCAAGGGGGGACCTCCAACCCTGAATAACCCCCACAGACCCCCGGGAGGGGTTCCAACCCAAAAGAATCTCTGTGGGGGCTTCTACCAGCCCCCAAATAACACAGACACTTCTCTGAGGGGAGCCTCTATCACCCCCCCCAAACCCCCTTGGGGGGACCCTACCAGTCCCCAGCCCCAAATAACGTCCCCAGACCCCCGAGGGGGGCCCTCGAGCCAAAATAACCCCGCCCATCCCTGGAGGAGCCCAAATAGCCCCCTTTGGGGGGCCACTACTGGCCCCCCAGCCCCAAATAACCCCTTGTGACTCCCTGGGAGGGGGAGGTCTGAACCGTAAATAACCGCTCCACACTTCTGGGGGGAACCCAAAAGAAGCCCCTACACCCTGGGGGGATGCAGATAGCCCACCTCGACCCCTGGGGGGGCCTCTACTGACTCCAGCCCCAGATAGGCCCCCAGACTTCTGGGGGCGCCCCCAACCCTAAATAACCCCTCCCCTGCACCCCTGTGGGGGCTTTACCAACCCCAAAAGATCCCCCCTGACACCCCGGGTGGGACAACAGCCCCTATTTATCTCCCCGAGGAGGGGCTGTGGGGCTCTGACCTCCCCCCAGAATGCACCCCCAGGGACACTGCCGTTCCCCTCCCTCCCCCCCAACTTGGGGAGGGCAAAGGTGTGATACCCCCAGGGGAAATCATGTAAATAAATTTCAGAAACAAATTTCTTTTTGGGGGTTTCAGATGGGTTTTAGGGAGTATGAATGGATTTGGGGTAATCTAGATCAATTTGGGGAGGAGCCAGGTGGATTTGAGGGGAGTCCATGTGGATTTGAAGGGTTTCCAGCTGGAATTTGGGGGGATCCTAGGGGATTTTGGGAGTCCTGGTGAATTCTGGGAGGACCTTGATGGATTTGGGTGGGGAACTGGATGGATTTGGCCATTTCCGGGTGTTTTGTGGAGAGTCCATCTGGATTTGGCGGGGGGGGGTCCGGATGGATTTTGAGGGGTGACGTCAGCTTCGCTGGCCACGCTCCCGGGGGACGTGGGGGACCCTCATTAGCACCGGATTAACGGGGTGGGGGGGCCCAGAGGGGGTCCCTGGGAGGATTTTTGTGGAGGGGGGGCCGATTTTGGGTTCTCGGGAAGGATTTTGGGGTCCTGCGGTGGGGGCAATTTGGGGTCCCGGGGGGTTTAATGGGACTCAGCAGCACTTTGGGGGATGAGGGGGTCCCTGTGACCGAATCCCCTTCCCTGCCCCGTGTCCCCACGCCCTGCTGGGATCTGTCCCTGCGCTCCCAGCGCTGGCCTGAGGCCACGGGGACGGAACCAGACCCGCGGCGGGGAGGGCCGGGAGGGGCCCCCCTCCCCAAAACACCCTCCCGGGCCTCAGTTTCCCCCCGGCGAGGGGCGGAGGGGGCTCAGGACTGGCCGGACCAGCACGGCCACTCCCGGGGGGATTCTGGGCAGGACCCGGGGGCCGCCCCCGCTTCCCCGCAAACCCCCCACTGGGACACGCGTGTCTTCCCCCCCCTCTTCCTGGGGACCCCTCAGGGCTGGCCCGGCCCCCGCAGGATTTAAGGGCCAGGATCGGCCGGTGGCCCCAGACCGGCTGTGGCCACTCAGAGGTGAGGGCGGGGGACAGGGTGGAGGGAGCAGGGGGTGGGGTGACGGGGACAGGGAGTTCCCTGCCCGGCCTGGGGGGTGGCGGGGCCACATGGTGGGTCCCCAGGGCACGGGAGCTCCCCTGGGTGTTGATTCAATGTCCCCTCCGTGGGTTTCGGTGTCCCCAAGGTCTCCTCCTTGGTTCTCCAACGCCCCCCAGGTATCCCCCTGAGGGCTTTTCATACCTCCCGGGTGTTCTCAAGGTATCCCAAGGAGATCCCAAGGTGATCCCAAGGTATCAACGTCCTCTCGGTGTCCCCGCAGGTGCCCCACTGTGTCCCCAAGCTGTTCCCTGCATCCCCAACACCCCCCAGGCGCCTCTCCAAAGCCTTTTCCCGGCCCCTCGGGGCTGTGGCTGTTCCCGGTGCCCCCAGATGCCCTCTGAGTGCCCACCCCTGGTGTCCCCAACACCCCCAGATGCCTCTTGTGTCCCCAGCTTCCCCCAGGTGTCCTCCTAAATCCTTTTCCCGCCCTCCCCCGGGGGCGGGGCTGTCCCCAGGTGTGCCCAGGTGCCCACAGGTGCCCCTGCGGTGCCCCCTCGGTGCCCGCGCGGTGTTGGGTGACAATGACAGTGACATACACGTCCCGCGTGGCCACCGCGCGTTTCGGGGGGTTCTCGCAGCTGCTGCTGCTCTGGCGAGGCAGCATCTACAAACTCCTGTACCGGGAGCTGCTCCTCTTCCTTGGAGCCTACCTGGGGCTCAGCCTTGCCTACAGGTAGGGAGGAAGTGGGGGTACAAAGGGGGGCATCGGGATGGGACACGTGGAGGGCACGGAGACATGGGACTTTGTATGGGGGGACATGAGAGGGACATGGGGGGTGGGGACACAAGGGAGACACAGAGGGGGATATGGGGGGACACGGAGGGGACAGAGGGGGACCCGGGTGGGGCATTGGGATGGGACATACGGGAGCACAAGGACATGGGGACTTTGTACTGTGGGACATGGGGGTACACAGGGAGGACACGGGAAGGGTGGGGCCACCGGGAACGTGGTGGGGACAGGTGGGGGTGCGGGAACACGCGGGGACATCAGGGTGAGGCGCACGGGGGTCACGGGGACCTTGTGAGGGGGGACTCGGGCATCCCCGGGGGGTTTCCTGGCCGTTGGAGGAGTCCGGGGGGTGACAGGGACAGGTAGTGGCTTACCCCCTTTTCCCCCCAAGGTTCCTGCTCTCGGAGTCCCAGCGGAGGCTCTTTGAGAAGCTCGTCCTCTACTGCGACAAATCGGCCGATCTGATCCCCGTGTCCTTTGTGCTCGGTGAGAGACCCACCCCGGGGCCTCCCCGGAACCCTCTCTGGGACCCCCAAACCCCTCTGGGACCCCCAAACCACCCTGGGACCCCAAACACCTCCCCCAGGCCACCGGTGTCCTCACCGATGCCCCAGTATGATCCCCTTGTCCTTTGTGCTCAGTGAGGGATGCCCCCCCCCCAGGACCTCTCCGGGAACCCTGAACTTCCCTGTGAGTCCCAGATCCCACCGGGGTCCCCCCATTCTCCCCAGTGCCCCTTCCCAGTGTTCCCAGTGACCCCTCCCATTGCTCCCAGCGCCCCCAGTAGTCCCAGTTTGCAGGGTTCTACGTGGCGCTGGTGCTGGAGCGTTGGTGGGGGCAGTTCCGGGCGGTGCCGGCCCCCGACGGGCTCATGGTGGCTGTGGCCGGGTCCGTCCACGGGGCCGACGCGCGGGGCCGGATCCTGCGCCGGACGCTGCTGCGCTACGGGGGCCTGGCGGCCCTGCTGGTGCTCCGGGCCGTCAGCACCCCCGTCTACAAGAGATTCCCCACCACCGACCACCTGGTGCAGGCCGGTGAGTGGGTTATGATGTCACTGTGATGTCATCAGAGCATGTGAGACAAGTACCGGGAGGGTCATGGGTCAGAGGGAGCAGTGGGAGGGTTGGGGGGACCCCAGCAGGGTGACATCAGGTCACTGTCATAGCCCTGTGTCCAAGCACTTCCCCACCACTGAGAAAAAGAGAGGAGAGAAAAATAGTTCCTGCTAAGAGACCTCATCACGGTTCATCGAGACTTGCGATGTCACCGCGACGTCATCGTGGGGATGATGTCAGCACTGAGGTGGTGGGAGCAGTGGGGTGGTCGGAGGGACACTGGGGGGGTGACATCGTGGCACTGTCACACCACTGTGTCCAAGGGGCAGTTCCGTGGTGACAGGGCAGGTTTTAGGGTGACATTGGGAGTCTCCCCAGGGCTCCTGACACGGGAGGAGCGATGCCAGCTCAAGGGCAGACACGATGTCACCGTTTTAGGGGTGACATTGGGATTTTGGAGATCTCCCCGGGGTTCCTGACGCAGGAGGAGTGGCAGCGGCTCCAGGGGAGGGGGGGCCGTTGCTGTTTTAGGGGGGATGTTGCTGTTTTGGGGGTGACATTGGGGTTTCTTGGCTCCCCCAGGGTTCCTGACGCGGGAGGAGCGGCGGCGGCTCGAGGGGCTGCGCTCGCCCTACAACAAGTTCTGGGTTCCCTGCGCCTGGTTCGCGGCGCTGGCAGGGCAGGCGCGGCGCGAGGGGCGGGTGCGGGACGACTGCGCCCTAAAACTGCTCATGGAGGTACCCCGGGGACCCACAACCCCAATCCTCGAGTGCCCCCAAACCCTCCCAAGTACCCCCAGAACCCCCCGGAGGCCCTGCAAACTCCCCGACACACCTCGAGACACCCCAATCCCCCTAAACCTCCCTGACTGCCCCCTGAAACCTCTAAACCCCCTGATTGACCCCAGAGCCCCCCGGGGCCCCCATGACCTCCCCCTGAACCCCCCAAACCTCCCGATTGACCCTAACCCCCCCAGTACCCTCCAGAACTCCTCCAACGCCCCTGACCGATTCCCCCAAACCTTCCCAACAGCCCCTAGGATACCCCTGAGACCCCCACAATCTCCTCCGGGGTCTTTCTGAACCCCCCCAAACCGTGCACACCCCTTGGGACCCCCTGAGCCCCCCCGGACCTCTCTGCGCTCCCCCCCCAGGAGCTGAACCGGTTCCGGGCCCACTGCAGCCTCTTGTTCCACTACGACTGGATCAGTGTCCCACTGGTGTACACCCAGGTGGGCACTGGGAGCACTGGGAGGTGCACTGGGGGCACTGGAGGAGCACCGGGGACACTGGGATGGGGTGCTGGGCGCAATGGGAACACCGAGAGGGAGCACCGAGGGTAGCGGGGAACCCTGCGGAGACACAGCGGGCACCCGGTGGGATGAGGATGGGGGGACAGGGATGGAAGGCATTGAGAGAACACTGAGGAGACCCTGAGGGGCAATGGAGGGGACCCTGGCGGGTCCCCCAGGTGCCATGTGTCCCCCCAGGTGGTGACCATCGCCGTGTACACCTTCTTCCTCACCTGCCTGATCGGGCGGCAGTTCCTGGACCCCGCTCAGGGCTACGCGGGGCACGAGCTGGACCTGGGAGTGCCCGTGTTCACCCTCCTTCAGTTCTTCTTCTACGTGGGGTGGCTCAAGGTGGGTGGGGTGGTTACAGGCGGGGGTCCAGGGACACCTAGGGACACTTGGGAACACCCAGCCCCCCAACAGGTGGCCGAGCAGCTCATCAACCCCTTTGGGGAGGACGATGACGACTTTGAGACCAACACCCTCATCGACCGCAACTTCCAGGTGCGTGGGATGGGCAGGATGGGGGGACACGGGTGCGACGGGGGACCCACGTGTGCAGGGGCACCCAGATGTCGGGGAGGGGGAAGGGGTGTCCGGGTGAGTCCCCGGCTGCCAGGTGACACCCAAGCACTGGCAGGTGTCGATGCTGGCGGTGGACGAGCTGTACGGGGAGGTGCCGGCGCTGGAGAGGGACCGGTACTGGGACAGCACCTGCCCCCGCGCTCCCTACACGGCTGCGGCCGCGCCCCCCCGGCAGCCCACCTTCCGGGGATCCGCCTTCGACGTCACGTGAGCGGGACCCCGACGACACCCCGGGACCCACCCGAAACCCCTCGACCCCCTCCAACCCCACAGCGGGAACCCCCACCTTGGGACCACCCTACCCCTAAATCCCTGGAACACCCCAATTATGGGACCCCAAAACATTCCAACTGTCCTCCAGGGAACCCCCCAGGTAACCCCAAGATACCCGGGGCGGGCTTTGAGGTGACCGTGTGTGGGGGGATCGGGGTGAGCCAGGGTGGGTTCAGGGGGCAGTTTTTTGTGGTGATCCCGGAGGGGGTTTGGGGGTGGTTTTGGGGCAAACCTAGGTGTCGGTGGGAGGGAGGAGGGCGTGGGGTAACCCGGGGAGGGTCGAGGGTGACCTCGGGGGGAGGGGCCTCAGGGGGATTTTTTGGGTGACCCAGAGGAGGTTTCAGGGGACAGGGAGTTTGGTGTGAACCCGGAGGATTTTGGGGTGACCCCAAGGGCGGTTTCTGGGGTTTTTTTTGGGGTGGCCTCGGGGGGATTTTGTCGTGACCCTCTCCCCACCCCGTTGCAGACTGGCCAAGGAGGAGATGCAGTTCCAGCCTCTGGAGGACGTCGGGGACTCCCCGGGAGATCCCACGGACCCCGCCCCGCGTCCCCCCTCCGCCACTCGCCGCCACTCTCTTCTGCACCCCAAGAGCGGCTCCGAGGGGGAGGGCGGCTCCCCCGAGAACCCCCTGGGGGACGGGGGCACCCAGGACCAGTGGCTCCTCTACCCCAGCGCCGACCACGTGGTTTAATGGGGGGGACACCCCGAAAAACACTCCCCCCCGGCTCAACCCCGTACGAGCTCTCACAGAATCCGGCCCCTCCACCCCCCCGCAAATAAACCTCCAGCACTGAATCCCGAGGCTTTATTGGAACATTTTGTTTTCGGTGGGAGACAAGTGCCCCGCCAGAAATGGGATACAAAAATAGAAGCGAATCATTCCCGGCCGTTTCCAGTTCCCGCGCCGCGCGCCTCACGTAGGCACCGTCCCCCGGCTCGCGCCGTCCCCGCCGGCCGGCTCGCGCCGCCTCTGCCCGCGCGCCAGAGTCACGCGCCCGCCTGAGGGGCCAAGCGCCATTCTGTCCCCTCCCGTGAGGGACAGCCTCAGGTGTGGCCAGTGAGGATGACGAGGGGCAGGACAGCCTCAGGTGTGACCAGGTCTACCCGTTCGACTCGATCACCAGGTCTATCTTTTAAATACAGACACCAGATCTACTTGTCTAAAACAGACCAGGTCTACCCCCTAAAAGAGAACAGGTCTACCTTTTCGACACAGACACCAGATCTACCGGCCCCCGAGAGAACGGGGGCGGGGTCGCGCGGAGGGGCCGGGCCGGGCTGGGCGGGCAGAGCGGGCGGGGCCACCCCGGTGCAGCCTGTCCTGCAGCCCCGCTGGGGGTGTCCCTCCAGCAGCGCAAGGGGTGCGGGGAGCGCAGCAGCGTGCAGCGAGCTGGGGCGGGGCTGTGGCCCGGGAGAGTGTGCATAACCCCCCGAAACCCGCACCCAAAACGAGCCCAAAACAACCCCAAAGCCCAGAGCCAAACGCGGCGGGATGGTGCTGGCCCCGCCCCCCGGCTCGCACTGGCCCCGCCCCCTGGCCGCCCGGCCCCTCCCTGCCCGTCTCCAAGAACGCCGCTGTCCCCGCAGGCTCCGCCGCCGCCCCCCCTTCCCCTTGTCCCGGGAGAGCTCCCGGACGGGACGTGACCGCGGAGCTCCCCCCGCCTTTCCCTGGCCCCAGCAGCGCCCGCCGGGGCTGCGGTGGCGGCGGGGCCAGGGCGGGGCCTCGAGTGCTGATTGGGCAGCCGCTGCCGGGCCCGCGCAATTCAAGGGCGGGCGGGGCCGGCGCAGCTGTGGCGGTTTGAGTGGGTGGGCTGAGCGGGAGGGCTGAGGGTGGGGCCGGCGCAGCTGCGGCTTTTTGAGCGTGAGGGCTGAGCGGGGGCCGTTGTGCTGTGCTGTGCTGTGAAGGGAGAGCGCCGTGTCCTCTGTGCTCCTGGAACGGGGCAGCTGGGTGGTGTTTGGGGCTGCGCTGCGCTGCGCTGCGCTGTGGGGGGCAGAGCGCTGTGTCCTCTGGGCTGGGCTGGGGGGAGAGTGCCGTGTCCTCTGTGCTTCTGGAACGGGGCAGCTGGGTGGTGTTTGGGGCTGCGCTGCGCTGTGCTGGGCTGTGGGGGGCAGAGCGCTGTGTCCTCTGTGCTGGGCTGGGGGCGGAGAGCGCCGTGTCCTCTGTGCTCGTGGAATGGGGGGGCTGAGCCTGGGGCCGCTGTGCTGGGTTGGGGGGAGAGCGCCGTGTCCTCTGTGCTCGTGGAATGGAGGGGGCTGAGCGTGGGGCCGCTGTGCTGGGCTTGGGGGGGAGAGCGCCGTGTCCTCTGTGCTCGTGGAATGGGGCAGCTGGGCGGTGTTTGGGGCTGCGCTGTGCTGGGCTGGGGGGGGAGAGTGCTGTGTCCTCTGTGCTGGGCTGGGGGGGGAGAGTGCCGTGTCCTCTGTGCTCGTGGAATGGGGGCTGAGCGTGGGCCGCTGTGCTGGGTTGGGGGAGCGCCGTGTCCTCTGTGCTCGTGGAATGGAGGGGCTGAGCGTGGGGCGCTGTGCTGGGCTTGGGGGAGAGTGCCGTGTCCTCTGTGCTCGTGGAATGGGCAGCTGGGCGGTGTTTGGGGCTGCGCTGTGCTGGGCTGGGGGAGAGTGCTGTGTCCTTTATGCTGGGCTGGGGGAGAGCTGTGTCCGCTGGGCTGGGGGAGAGTGCCGTGTTCTCTGTGCTCGTGGAATGGGGGGGCTGAGCGTGGGGCCGCTGTGCTGGGTTGGGGGGAGAGCGCCGTGTCCTCTGGGCTCGGGGAGAGCGCCGTGTCCTCTGGGCTCGGGGAGAGCGCTGTGTCCTCTGGGCTGGGCTGGGGAGAGTGCCGTGTCCTCTGTGCTTCTGGAACGGGGCAGCTGGGTGGTGTTTGGGGCTGCGCTGCGCTGTGCTGGGCTGTGGGGGGCAGAGCGCTGTGTTCTCTGTGCTGGGCTGGGGGGGGGAGAGCACCGTGTCCTCTGTGCTCGTGGAATGGAGGGGGCTGAGCGTGGGGCCGCTGTGCTGGGCTGGGGGGAGAGCGCCGTGTCCTCTGTGCTCGTGGAATGGAGGGGGCTGAGCGTGGGGCCGCTGTGCTGGGCTGGGGGGAGAACACTGTGTCCTCTGTGCTTGTGGAACGGGGCAGCTGAGCGGTGTGCTGGGCTGGGGGGAGAGCGCCGTGTCCTCTGGGCTGGGCTGGGCTGGGGGGAGAGTGCCGTGTCCTCTGTGCTTCTGGAACGGGGCAGCTGGGTGGTGTTTGGGGCTGTGCTGTGCTGGGCTGCGGGGGGCAGAGCGCCGTGTCCTCTGTGCTGGGCTGGGAGGGGAGAGAGCCGTGTCCTCTGTGCTGGGCTGGGGGGGGGAGAGTGCCGTGTCCTCTGTGCTGGGCTGGGAGGGGAGAGCGCCGTGTCCTCTGTGGTGGGCTGGGAGGGGAGAGCGCCGTGTCCTCTGTGCTGGGCTGGGAGGAGAGCGCCGTGTCCTCTGTGCTGGGCTGGGAGGAGAGCGCCGTGTCCTCTGTGCTGGGCTGGGAGGGGAGAGCGCCGTGTCCTCTGTGGTGGGCTGGGAGGGGAGAGCGCCGTGTCCTCTGTGGTGGGCTGGGAGGGGAGAGCGCCGTGTCCTCTGTGCTGGGCTGGGGTGGGGAGAGTGCCGTGTCCTCTGCTGGGCTTGGGGGGGAGAGCGCTGTGTCCTCTGTGCTCGTGGAATGGGGGTGCTGAGCGTGGGGCCGCTGTGCTGGGCTGGGGGGAGAGCGCCGTGTCCTCTGTGCTGGGCTGGGGGAGGGAGAGCGCCATGTCCTCTGTGCTCGGGGCGGAGAGCACTGTGTCCTCTGGGCTGGGCTGGGGGGAGAGTGCCGTGTCCTCTGTGCTTCTGGAACGGGGCGGCTGGGTGGTGTTTGGGGCTGTGCTGTGCTGGGCTGGGGAGAGCGCCGTGTCCTCTGTGCTGGGCTGGGGGGAGAGCACCGTGTCCTCTGTGCTGGGCTGGGGGGGGGAGAGCGCCGTGTCCTCTGTGCTGGGCTGGGGGGGGAGAGCGCCGTGTCCTCTGTGCTCGGGGGGGAGAGCGCTGTGTTCTCTGGGCTGTGCTGGGCTGGGGGGAGAGTGCCGTGTTCTCTGTGCTTCTGGAACGGGGCAGCTGGGTGGTGTTTAGGGATGTGCTGTGCTGGGCTGTGGGGGGCAGAGCGCTGTGTCCTCTGTGCTGGGCTGGGGGGGGAGAGCTCCGTGTCCTCTGTGCTCGTGGAATGGAGGGGGCTGAGCGTGGGGCCGCTGTGCTGGGCTGGGGGGAGAACACTGTGTCCTCTGTGCTCGTGGAACGGGGCAGCTGAGCGGTGTGCTGGGCTGGGGAGCGAGCGCCGTGTCTTCTGTGCTTGTGGAATGGGGGAGCTGGGGTGTGTTTGGCTGCATGCTGTGCTGGGCAGCGGGGCTGGTTATGCCTGTTACCTGCCGGGAAGCCCCGGGGGGAGCCGTGGCGAGGCTGAGGGGCTGTTGCTCTCTGGGTGCCTCAAGTTTTGCTTTGGAATCCCAGAGCCTCTCCCCGTGCAGGGCTATGAGGCAAAGGCTGCTCTAACTCGGTTTTGTGGTGCCGACTTAATGCTCTTTCCTTGTTCTGTCTCAATTTCCAGCCTCCCTCGTGGTTTCCCCTGGTGCTGGCGGAGCGTGGTGAGTTGTGCTTCCTGCTGGGAGAGAGAAGGACCTTGGAAAGCTTCTCTGCGACCACAGCTGTACCAAGCCTGGGAGTTTGTACTAGTAAGAGCAGGGCTTATACTCCTAGTGAGGAACTGGGTTTTGCTGTTTGAAGGTGGAATATGCATCTGCCTCTTAAATCCAAGGAGAGGCAGAAGCTGGGAGGGACCCTGAGCAGGTTTGGTGGCACGACAGTAGCCTCAAAAGACCTTGACTGTGGGTGAAGTGTCCAGGAAACGTTACTCCTTTTTTGCAGGGAGGCAGTTTGACAGGGGAGTGCTCTATAGCCTCCGTATCCAAGTGTCAGGAAAAAAGGGGTGATGCTGTCTGAGTTTTGAGGTGTAACGAGAGCTGATACTTTTTGCAGGGGGCTGTGACCTGGAAACTGCACAGAGCTGAGCCAGGGGATTGAAAGGTACTAACCCAGCGAGGTGAAGAAACAAGGAAGAAGGGAACAGAGGCAGCAGCCAAGCAGCACCAAGTTCCTCTGTCAGCAGGTGAGTTGTCTTGAGGTTCCTCAGGCAGACACTTGGGACTTTGGATGCTCCAGACAGAGAAGACCTCAGAAGCCCCTCGATGAAGCCCCTCAGAATCCTTATCAGGGTAGGTGTGTATGGTTGTTAGTGCTGGGAAATGTTCTGAGCGTGGAACAGGAATGCAGGGAACAAAATGAACCCTCATGGAATGCTGAGCCCTCCTGTCATCTGCAGCACAGGTACCTCTCTGTGCACTGTGGGAGCTGATGGCCAGGACCCCCAGTGGGCTGGGATCAGTGCAGGGTGTTGTCAGCAAGGAATGCCTGGCTTCTAAAACTCACCAGCTGAGTCTTAGAGGCTTTTTTGCCGAGCTCTTTTCCGGCAGTCAAATTAACCCCCCAGCAGGGACTCTGTGTCTGCTCTCCCATGGTTCCCAGGGATCTCTGGGCCTTCACGCCGGCACCGAGATGTTCTCGGGAAGGCCCTCAGATCCCCGGAGCAGTCTGGGACACGGGAAAGATCCCCCTGCATTTCGGGGGCAGATTGGGCCCCCCTGGAGGGACAGTGCTGTTGCTGCCCCCTGGGCTCAGGGACATTCGGAGGACTCCGGCGCGCACCGAAAGGGTTCTTCGGGGAGCTCCTCCGAGTGCCCCAAGCTGGGGAGCTGAAAGCAAGGTCCCTGGAATGGATTCAGGCATTGCTGAGAATATCAGAGGTGTAGCTGTCTGTCCTGGCCACGCAGCTCCGGAATGGACTGTAACTGGGTTATAAAAGTGGTGCTCCAGCTGCAAAAGGAGTGTGGGATTGGAATTAAGGAAAACAGTTGTGGCCTTTGAAGGGCCAGCTTAGACAGTTGTCAAACAGTAGCAGAAGTGACTCTCCAGGTAACCCAATATAAATATGAGAAGCGAAGGGGTCAAGTAAACCAGTGCATGCTGTGACTACAGAGGCAGGGATGGGTTGGGATCCCAGAAACTGGGGTGGAGATGCTTGTGATTTAGCTGCTTTTGAGCATGGTTCAGAGGTTGAAGTGTTTGCTGAAGCACAGCCAATAACAGGAGGGAAAGTGGAAGGTGACCCCGATGGTTATCCCATCAGGCCTGACGTGGTGGAGGATTTTACTCAGACTGAACTTCCTGGTGTTATGGAGAGGTTTAAAGCAAAGGCCAGAGAGTCTGTGATCTCCTGGACAGTTGGGCTGCATGACCTGGTAGCCTCTGGGATCAGATTGGACTGGGCAGACAGGGAGCAGTTTGTCCCGTGGAGCTGGGCTGGGTTTGTTCAGGATGCCTTCGGAGGCAGGGCTGGAGAGGCTCCTTTGTTGGCTGTAGTGGTGGAAGGGTGTCCCAGGAGGGCTGGAGCCCTTCGACCTCCTGCTCCCCCTTAGCCCCGACGGGACCGTGCACTTGGCAATGGAGGGCCCCCCATTGCTGAGTCAGCGGTTCCGGGGGCCGGCAGGGATGGGATCAGGAGGCCGAGCTCCAGCCCAGGCAGGGCAGGAAATGGTGCGGCCACTGAAAGAAGCGAAGGCAGAGTGAGGTGAAGGCCGAGCTCCAGCACAAGGGTGGGTGAGAAAAGCCCATGGCCCTCAGGTGGAGCTTTGAATTCCTTGGAAAATTGGATCTTGTCAAAGGGCTCAGGCCCTTGTGGGTGCTGGAGCGGAGGCCTCTTCAACTGATGGTCAACCTAAAAAGGTGCAAGGACAGCAAGTTTTGAGGACAGGATGAGGTGGCAAACAAGGTGAAGTGGTACAGAGAAAAGCTGAGCTTCAGATTGGTCCTCTGCCACAGCAGCCTTGTGGAGTGCTTATTGCTGTGCCTGACTGTGGAAGGGCAGTGGATATTTCCAAGGGCTGCCTTGTGCTGAGGAACACTGGGGTCAGTTCCCTTTCCCTGGGCAGGGCAGGCAGGGCATGTTTACCTGCCGCCCTCGAGGGTGGCTCCATAAGACTTGACCTGATCATCAAATGCAAACAGTAAATAGAGAGGGTCCATTGGTGACCTTTGGGCATCAGGTAGAACAACTCACTGCTCACCTCTGGGGGGACATATTCACAGCATTCTCACCATCTGATAGGAAGTTTCTGAACACTTTATTCCATCCACTAATCATAGTAATTACACTGATTTTATGAACAATAGGGAGTTGTTGTCTATGGTATCAACTCCAAGAAGTTGTTTCTCGCATGTCTCTGTCCTGACCAGGGATCAAAGGACCAAAGGGAAAGGATGAGAAGTTCCCTGAGGGCTGCTGCCCCTGAGGAACAGGGTGAAGGCTGTCTGTGCTCAGGTGCCCTGGCTGAAGTGTGCGGTTGGTGTGAGTGTTACTGCAGAAAGGCAGGCCAGGTGTGTGCAGCTGTTCCGTGCCCTCCACCCTCGGCCCTGCCGGGGCACCTGGCCAGCACTCCAGGGGTGGCCAACTTGGAGCTCACGAGAAGCTGCCCATGCCCACGGCCGGACAGTGCCAGGCCTGGCCTAAAGCCGGCTCTGTCGGTCAGAGTCTGGCCAGCGGGAGCCTCTTGGAGCCGCCCTGCAGCCTCCCCTGCGGGTGGATGCACCCGTAGGAATTGTGGCAGTTCCCTGAGACTGCGGGATCGGCTGCACTGGGGCTGCCCAGCTGCCCTGTGGGCTGGGGGTGGAGCGTGAGGGGGCCGGTGGGGAGGGATTTCTGCTTAGCCACAGTTCTGTCTCTCAGGGCAGTCAGGATTTGATGCCTTGCTCATTTTCTTTTGTATCCCATAAATCTGTATCCGATGTGTTGGATTGGGTTTGTTTAAACTGTTCCTATTATTCTATGACTGGTGAGTTGTTTCCTTGAGTGCCCTGCCTGTCAGCACAGCACCAGGTCTGTGCAGCAGCTGGAGACTGGGCAGGTTTGGGGGCTGTGATGTCCCAGCTCCCTTTGCCATCCCTGCTGAAGGGTGGGAACTGCACAGAGCCAGCAGCGTCCAGCTGGAGGATCCAGGAGGATGCAGCTCTGCTGTTCTGGGAGGTAAGAGGTGGGGGTGCAGGAGCTGGAAGGGGTGTTCTCCAGGCAGAGGGAGGGAAGGAGCAGGGAGAACTGCAGCCCCCAGCAGCTCGGTCAGTGCCGGATGGACTCAGGGCTGGGAAAGGTCACTCAGTGTGAGGGCAGGTGAGAGCCCAGGGTGGCCCTGGCAGCCCTGGGGCTGGGAACAAGTCCAGTGGGCAAAGGAATGGACCCTGGAGAGCTGGGCAAACAGCTGGAGGAGTTTCAAGGAGAAGCAGGAAACTGGACAAGTTGCAGCAGCTCCTTCTGTGTGTGTGTGTGTAACCAGGTCTAGTGCAGCCACGAGTGAGGTGGGAAATGAACCTCAGGAGGCTGGGAATGAGTCCCACAAACTGGTTACACTGGGATTGAGTCTTCCCAAGTGTCTGAAAAGCTTTGCTTTAATTTGGCTTTATAAATTAAAAACTGAAGTGATTGTCAAGGGGTTGGCCCTTGCTGTCCTGTGTCTTTGAAGTGTTGACTCAGTACCTTTATTGGAGCTGCTGCTGGATGAACAGGTGCTCCTAATTTGCCTTTAAGGTCCTGGTTTCTTCCCTTCTTCTCCCAGCTTGTCCAGGAGATGGAATTCCAGTGCTACAGTATAGATGGCTTGTGCTGCTCCTAAAAGGAGCCTTTCTGCCTTCAGGACAAGTTCTGGTGCCACTGGAGCTGTTGGGAGAAGCGGAGGGTTGGCAGTGACAGGCCTGGAATGCTGTTGCTGTGGCACAGAGGCTGCTCCCTGGCAGGTTCTTGGTTTGGATTCCTTGGCTGCCACTTGACCTCAGTTGTGTAGGGAACAAAACATGGTATGGGAAAGCAAAGCAGGGGAGGTTCTGATTTCAGAGAGAATCATTGAATTTTCTCTTTCTGCAGGGACACTGAGCTAGTCCAACTGTGGCAAGAAGAACAAGTGGGCTGTGAAGGTTTGGAGTATTCTGGAAGGTTCCTCGTGCCCAAAGGATCCTGGCAAGTGCAGCCCTGGAAGAGCACAGAATAATGAAAAGTGCCTCAGTTCTCCTGAAGCTCAACTTTGTAAAATATTCATGAAGATAAAATTCTACTGTACTGAGCTGTTGGGTCCCAAATACTCTTGGAGGGAGAGGCAGAAATTCCCACTGCTGCTGGGGCTGAACTGCTTGCAGTGACCAGGTGGGACTCGGCCCTCGTGCCTGAGTCCCCCCAGGATGGATCCCACCTGTCAGCCCCTGGCTCCATAACTTGAGGAGAGGGTGTTCCTGCAAGCCCAGCTGCTGTGTTGGTGGTCCTGTGTGCACCTCTTGCCCTGGCCTGCCGTGAATGTATTTGTGTTGCAGCTCAATAATGTCCCAATAAAGTGGTGATTGTGTGATTTTGGTGTCAGTTCCTCTCCATTCCTCTTCCCCTTGCCCAGTGGCCGCATCACTGACTTGTGCCTAAATGAACTCTTGCCCTGCAGCAGATCTCTGCTCTTCGTTCTCAGAGAGGGTGGAGCTGAGGCCCCTGAGCAAAGGGCAAAAGGCTCCAGCCAAGCCAGGCCCGTGCTTCCCCCCTGCATTTCTGAAGCATCCGGTGTTTGCAGTTGCCATCAGTGCTGGACATACAGCCCGTTCCTGAACAAACCCCTTTGCTGTTCTCTCTCCATGTCTCCCCTCCCAACTCCCCTCCTCTGATGCTCCAGGTGCCACAGGGGTTGTTGTGGCCAAAGTGCAGGACCTGGCACTTGGCCTTGTTGAACTTCATCCCCTTGGAATCAGCCCAACTCTCCAGACTATCCAGAGCCCTCCTGCCTTCCAGCAGATTGACACTCCCTCCCAACTTGGTGTCATCTGCAAATTTGCTGATGATGGCCTCAATCCCCTCATCTAAATCATCCATAAAGATGTTAAACAGGACTGGGCCCAGCACTGATCCCTGGGGGACACCACTGATGACTGGCCGCCAGCTGGATGCAGCCCCGTCCACCAACACTCTCTGGGCCCAGCCCTCCAGCTCTTAACCCAGCAGAGAGTGCACCTGGCCAAGCCGTGGGCTGCCAGCTTTCCCAGGAGTATATTATGGGAGACAGTGTGAAAGGCTTTGCTGAAGTCCAGATAGACCACATCTACAGCTTTCCCCCTGTCCACCAGGCAGGTCAGCTGATCATAAAAGGAGATCAGGTCGGTCAGACAGCATCTTGTGGTGCTCTGTATTAAATCTTGGCTTAATGTTAAAGCTGTGGGCGAGGCGAGGGGCGGTGCTGGACGGGGCTGCCCTGGGGGTGCCTTCCACCGTGGGGGTCGCAGCCACGGGCCCCGCCCCCGCCCTGCGCTGCCCCTCCCGGTGCGCCCCGCCCATCGTTGGGGGCTGCCGCAGCCCCCGGCCCTTCCCGCGCTGCCGAGGCTGCCGGGGAGGGACCGGGCTGTGCTGGGGGGAAAGGGCTTTGCTCCTTGTGTTCGAGTGCGGCAGTGGGAGGGCGTTCCAGGGCGGTGCAGGGGGGGCCGGGTGACCTCACGGATGGCGCGGTGGGGCCCGAGGGCTGCAGCTCTGGGGGCCTGGCGGTGGGCGGGCTCTGCCTGGGCTTAGCGGGAGAAGCTGGGACTTGGCATGGTGCGATTTGGTGGTGGTGGGGGGGAGGGGTCTGTTTTTCTGGTTTCCTTTTCGACCACTGTGGTGCTGGGCAGAAAAGGCTGGAAAAGAAAGACTGGCAGTGGCTTCCCGATTCGCTTTGCAGACATTTGCCACCTGCAGAGGAGGCACTAATCCCCACGCAGCTGAGCAAGGGCTGCGGGGAGTGCAGCAGGGTGCAGCGAGCTGGGGCGGAGCTGTGACTCAGGGGAGGGTGTGCGCAGTCCCCCAAAACCCGCACCCAACCCCAGCCCAAAAGAAGCCCAGAGCGAAGAACCATGAGCCAGCGCAGGTGCCGTGCCCCGCCTGAGAACAGCCCCTGCCTCCTGCTCACTCCGGCAGCGCCCCTCGGCTGGCGCCGGCCCCTTTCCCCGGCTCGCCTGTGGTTCCATGCACCCTTCTGTCCTCTCCCATGCGAGACAGCCCCAGGTGTGGGCAGTGAGGATGACAAAGGAGCGGGACAGCCCCAGGTGTGGGCAGTGAGGATGACGAGGGGTGGGCCCTGCTGAGTGGTTATCTGGGCCACTTTTTGTAGAGAGCTTTTGCCGAGGAGCAGTCTTTCAAGGAGTAACGGTGAGAGCGTCTCGCTGGGGCAAGCACCTGAGGTCCCTGGATCATCGCTCAAGGAAGGGGCCGAGGGATGAGCCGTGTGCCGGGAAACAGCACAGGAGAGGGGAGCAGCGCACGTGAACAGGTGGGGGAGTGGGGGAGTACAGAGAAGATGCAGCTCAGACTGGAGGAAGAACTTGGAGGTTTCTTTTACTGATATTAACATTGAAAGCAGGGAGGGAGGTGGGATATAAGCACTCTAGGTGCTCGGGCAGGTGAGCCAGGACTTAGGGGAGGGACTAGCTTTCCTGAGCACCAAAAGTTCCAATTATTTGCCTCTCTCAGGAGCAGTGGAGAGGAGTTTCTACTTTGGGGCTGAGCTACAAATGAAAGCACCTGAAACTGCTGGGGGAAGCTTACTGCTGTAACCAGACTGTAGTTTACACTGAGTTTTTAACTACTAAACCCACTGAGTTTTGTTTTCTCTGTGCACAAACCCTGCTGGTACTTGTTAAACTGACTTGCTAAGTTGTGCATTGCTCGATAAACCCTTGCCTCTCCCTTTTCCTAGAGGAATGATTGGTCTTACCTTGGAAGCAAGAGAATGTCCTGGTGTGCGTGCTTTTGCCATTTTTTATCCCAGCTTATCTTCGAGCCTTACTTGATGCTGCGTGTGATTTTTTTCAGCACTGTGGGAAGGGCACAACTTGCCATAATATTGGCCTGTTTCCTTCTCTGTGCAAAAGGACGTGTTTCAGCAAGTGTGATGGTGCCGGTGCCACCTGCAGAGCTCTCTGACTGCCTGAGCCCTCTTTTCCTTTTACTTTTCTTTTGTGGCTGTAATTGGCACCTGGATAAGTTTAGAAGAGCTGTTAAGTTCCTTGCCTGTGTAAATGTGCTGGTAATAGCAGGGAGGGAAATGCTTGAGGCAGTAGTGTTAACTGGGCTAGGAGCAGAATTTCTGAAGGAAGAAGAACAGTAAGCAAATAGCAATTGTCCAAGAACTTGGCTGTTTTGAAGGCATCAAAGTTTTATTGCTGCCTGTTGTTTGGCACAGTGTGGCGAGCGGATGGTCTTGGAAACAGATTTGGAAGAAATTCAGTATGGGTTGTATGAGGCCAAAGGTGTCCCTCTGTGCATGTCTCCTCTGCAGGAATCCCATCAGTGGGGCTGCCTTTCCCACTCTTGGCATTGCCGTGGCTGTGCTGCTCTACTCAGATCCGATGGGTGGCTTGGGGGTGCTGGATGGCTCTGTCAGAATGGCGAGGTGGGGGTGCCCATCCTTAGGGTTACACTGTGGCTCAGGAGCATTTTGTGGTTTTGCTGTTGCAAGATGGAAGAGAGGGTGTGCTTCTTAAATCCAAGGACAGCCAAAAGCTAGGAGAGATCCCAAGCAGGTTTGGTGGCACAACAGCAGTTTTAAAAAATCCTAACCCTTAGAGAAATGGCCAGGGAAAATGGTTCCTTGTTTGCAAGGAGAGGGGGCTTGCTGTACTAACTAAGCAGAGTACTCACCTTGGGATGTGCAGGGTGAGGAAATCTCGGTTCTGTGTAGGCTTGAGAAAATGTGTATAGGTACCCGTGTGTGGCATCCGCACAGATGTAGGAAAGGAGATCTGTGACATCCAAGCTGCCAGGGAGCCAAAATATTGTGTGATTGTCTGAAAAAGGCAAAAGCTCTGTCGACCTCTATCGACACCTGTACCAATGGAGATGCAAATACTTTTTCCTCCTCTCAGCTGAAGACCTCACAAAGCTCAGCAGAGGTTTGAGGACGACAGCATTTTGCAGAGGAGATAGAGATAATCAGGATTGGTTTTTTCATGGTAAAATATAGGTAACCTGTAGGGATTTTTAGTGTTAATATAGATAATATGCTGCACCTGTGAAAGCATAACCTTATGCTGCAGGTATAGGGATTTCTAATGCTGATTTAGAGTATATGCTGCAAGCTGTGAGAACATAGCCTGATGTTGCTAGCATAGAAAATATGCTGCTGTGGGAACACAATTCTATGTTGCTAACTAGAGTATATGCTACTATGGGAAATAATTTTATGTTTCAATTCTTAAAAACATGATCTGCTGTTCTGATGGCCTTCTGATGGTACAGGATGAGAAAGATTTACTAAGAGAAACAGTAGCAAAACTAGATCTAGAAACTAGGGTCTCAGTACCAGCTATCAGGGTGAGAAAGGATGTAAAGTATGCTAAAGAAACAAAGGTCATAGAAGAGTATTGTTAGAAAACTGTATAAAAGACCAACGCTTGGTTTCAATAAATGGCATTCTCCTATCATCACATTGATGTGCTGAGTCGTCCATGCTTGCGCCGAGGGAACCCCACAGTAACCTAGGGATGGAATGAATATTTTGGGCCTAAAATCAGAGGTAAACTCTAGGGGAGAGAGTGTATATTTTGAGTGTAAAGCTCAGATAGTTGTTGGGGGTAACCTGGATGAGGAAGAGGAGTTTAAAAGGTGGAAGGAAGCAATGTCTGGCAACATAGGCCAGATAGCATCAGACAGACAGACTGTCTGTTAGATGGTGAGCTCTCTCTCTTGCTGAGGGAGAGCAGGTTTCTCTGATTGGCCAAAGTCCAGTTAGAGGCAGTTAGTTTTCCCAATTAAGAACTTAGTAGTTATCTAAAGATGCATGTATTCCCCCCTATTATGTATATCAATCTTAAATCCTATCCAATGCCCTGTCCAAGTTTATATATACCTATCCCCTTTTTCCAGAACCTTCCTTATCTGCCTATAAAACCCCTCCATTTTGTGAAATAAAGTTAGATCACCCTTAGCACCCACAGCTGGTGTCTCTGTGTGATTTGACCCCTGAGCTCGGCCGATACACCACCAGGCACAATGAGAGAAACTGCAGCTCAGCTGTGAACCCCTGCTGGTCTGAGGTGATCCAGAAACCCCAAACCATGATAGTCTTTTCCCTAGGAATGAAAGCATGTAGCCCTGTGATTGAAGGTGTAGATGACAGGCTGCCTAGGGGAGGTAAAGGACAGCAAGACTTTTCTGTCCTGACCCTTTCTGTACAAACAGGTGAAAGAGGCCATCGGCACAAGTGTGGAGAAGAGCTAGGTGAACACTGGTGAGCAAGATGAGTGTGGACTCCTTGACAGAAGTAGATGTTCCTTTTCTGGTGAGCTACAAACATGCCTAGTATTTTGCGACAAGGTTGGGTGGTCTCGGGCTGGCCTTGTGAGTAATCCCGAAGTATTACAGGGCTCAGCGATAGAGCATGTGCCTTTTCTATTTGCAGATGCTGCCCAGGTTGCCTTTGGAATGAGAGGAGAATTCGAGGTGAGTCGGGGCGGTGGCAGGAGGAGCAGGGGTGCACTGAGCTTTCCAAAATGCCCCGTAACTTTGTCTGTCACTCACCCAGGTATCCCATGCAATGCCAGCCGCAGCCTCCGGCATCGACAGAGGTGGCAGGACTGCATCCGGAGCCGGCGAGCCGAGGGCCTCGGTGCAGCTGGGAGAGTGTGAGTATGGGAACTGTTGGGGTTTGGCTGAGCTGCTTCTAAGCTCCTGAAGTGATTGTGGGTTTGTTTCTTGTAGCTGATGAGGAGGATAAGCCAGCGTCTGCAGGAACCTCTGAGGTAGCCAAGACGACCTTCCTTTGTGTTGAAGAAGGATTCACAACCCCAGCTGTCCTAAAGATAAGTGGAGGGCTGTGACCCGGAGAGGGGAGGAGAGCAGGGTACCAGGTTGGGAATTTCTGGGATAGATTTAGAAATTAGCATAACGAGAGAGGGATGTCCAGTAACAGGCCCCTAGTGCACAAAGAGGGAGTGGCTTACTTTGGAGCACCACACCGGGCCGTGCAGGGCAGAGCAATTCCGGTCTGCGTCACACAGTTTGTCTAGTCCGTCTTGCGTGTCTTGCGGGTTCCTCGGATCAGCCATCTTTGCATTCTGCCCCAAAGGGGCTTAAGGGAAGCGTGGGGCGTCATCCCCGGGGTCTCGAATGTCTCCTCGGCACGGTGCCGATATCGTCCGTTCCTCGACTCGCAATCTCGCATCGAAATCTCATCTTGGAATTTTACAGTCGGGTGTCTTCTCCGGCCACGTTTCAGGCTGCGTCGTCAGCTGTCCCCCCAGTCTTACATCCCGAACATAGCATTCTCGCACATCCCTCTTTGTGGTTTTGACAGGCCCTTCTTGTCCAAGGTAGTCCTCTTTGAGTCTTTCCAGAGGTTGCCGTAGGGCATTCTCAGCTCGGAGACGCAGTTGCGTAGGTCATCTTGCTCAACAGCATCTCGGTTCTCGGAGTTCTGCTGCTTGCTGAGAACTTTCCCTCATCATTCTGCTGCATGTTTGTAGTGTTACGTGTCAGCTGGGCATGTATTTGTCCCGAAGCTGCTCTGCACTGATGTTAGACGAGGGGGCGGAGGGTGGCAGGTACGTGACATCATAAGAGCTGCAGGTAGTCCAACCTTGGAGGTTGAGGGTAAGCCATTTCTTCCCTAAGAGGAAAGGGGTTTTGTTTCATTGCAGGAGTCCCGTCATGAAATTGCCAGTCTGACTGCCAAAAGTGAATACAAAGAAAGATTCCTCCGAGACAAAGGTTCCATCACAGAAAGCTCCTCTGTCCATGGAGTATCCAGGTGGGCCTACAACCTGGACTACTGACCCCGTGGGTAAGCACTTTCTTTCCTGGGAGAATTGGCTGTCGTTCGCTTGTAGGAATCGTGTGCCAAAATTACCAGTGTGACCCCCAGATTGAATATGGACGAAGATTGCTCCAAAAGAAGAGGTGCAAGAACAGAAAGCTCCTGCTGCCCAGGGAGTGCCCAGGCTGGGTCACCGACTGCACCGGAGACCCCCAGGGTAAATGCTTTCTTTCCTGGGAGAAAAGGCTATTGTTCGCTTGCCAGGATCACGCGCTGACATTACAAGTATGACTGCCAACACTGAGTTTGGATGAAGATTGCTCCAAGGCAGAAGGTGACTGGACAGAAAGCTCTTGCTGCCCATCGAATGCCAAGGGCAGCCCACAGCTAGGACCCTTGACCCTGGGGATAAGCACTACCTTTCCTGGGAGAAAAGGCTGTTGTTCGCATGCAGGAATCCTGTGCTGAAATTGCCACTCTGACTGCAAAATTGAATACAAACAAAGATACATCCCAGACAGAAGGGGGCAGGACAGAAACCTCGTGCTGCCCGTGGATTGCCCAGGCTGGCCCACCAAGTGTACCTGAGAGGCCGAGGGTAAGCACTTTCTTTTCTGGGAGAAAGGGCTATTGTTCCCTTGCAGGAATCCTACACTGAAATTACCAGGCAGTCTTCAAAATTGAATCCAGACAAAGGTTCCTCCAGGAAAGAAGGTGGCTGGACAGAAATCTCATGCTGCCAATGGAGTGTGGAGGCCGGCCGACAACCTGGACCTTTGACCCCGAGTGTAAGCGCTTTCTTTGCCAGGAGAAAGGGCTGTTGTTCACTCGGAGATAAGCTGTGTTGAAATTGCCAGTCCGAGTCCAAAACGGAGTACGAATGAAGGTTCTTCCCAGAGAAGAGGTGCCAATCGAGAAATCTCTTGGTGCCCATGGAGTGCCCAGGCCGGTCCACCAAATACTCAGGACAGCCAAAGGCTACAGGCTTTCTTTCCTGGGAGAAAGGGCCGTTGTTCTCCTGCAAGAGTCCAGCGGTGAAACTGCCAGTCTGACTGCCAAAAGTGAATACAAACAAAGATTCTTCCCAGAAAGACGGGGGCAGGACAGCAACCTCATGCTGTCCGTGGATTGCCCAGGCTGGCCCACCAAGTGTACCTGAGAGGCCGAGGGTAAGCACTTTCTTTCCTGGGAGAAAGGGCCATTGTTCTCCTGCAAGAGTCCAGCGGTGAAACTGCTAGTCTGACTGCCAAAAGTGAATACAAAGATTCTTCCCAGAAAGACGGGGGCAGGACAGAAACCTCATGCTGCCCGTGGATTGCCCAGGCTGGTTCACCAAGTGTATCTGAGAGGCCGAGGGTAAGCACTTTCTTTCCTAGGAGAAAGGGCTATTGTTCCCTTGCAGGAATCCTACACTGAAATTACCAGGCAATCTTCAAAATTGAATCCAGACAAAGGTTCCTCCAGGAAAGAAGGTGGCTGGACAGAAATCTCATGCTGCCAATGGAGTGTGGAGGCCAGCCGACAACCTGGACTTTGACCCCGAGTGTAAGCACTTTTTTTCCCAGGAGAAAGGGCTGTTGTTCACTCGGAGATAAGCTGTGTTGAAATTGCCAGTCCGAGTCCAAAACGGAGTACGAATGAAGGTTCTTCCCAGAGAAGAGGTGCCAATCGAGAAATCTCTTGGTGCCCATGGAGTGCCCAGGCCGGTCCACCAAATACTCAGGACAGCCAAAGGCTACAGGCTTTCTTTCCTGGGAGAAAGGGCCGTTGTTCTCCTGCAAGAGTCCAGCGGTGAAACTGCCAGTCTGACTGCCAAAAGTGAATACAAAGAAAGATTCCTCCGAGACAAAGGTTCCATCACAGAAAGCTCCCTCTGTCCATGGAGTATTCAGGTGGGCCTACAACCTGGACTACTGACCCCGTGGGTAAGCACTTTCTTTCCTGGGAGAATTGGCTGTCGTTTGCTTGTAGGAATCGTGTGCCAAAATTACCAGTGTGACCCCCAGATTGAATATGGACGAAGATTGCTCCAAAAGAAGAGGTGCAAGAACAGAAAGCTCCTGCTGCCCAGGGAGTGCCCAGGCTGGGCCACCGACTGCACCGGAGGCCCCCAGGGTAAACGCTTTCTTTCCTGGGAGAAAAGGCTATTGTTCGCTTGCCAGGATCACGCGCTGACATTACTTGTATAACTGCCAACACCGAGTTTGGATGAAGATTGCTCCAAGGCAGAAGGTGACTGGACAGAAAGCTCTTGCTGCCCATCGAATGCCAAGGGCAGCCCACAGCTAGGACCCTTGACCCTGGGGATAAGCACTACCTTTCCTGGGAGAAAAGGCTGTTGTTCGCATGCAGGAATCCTGTGCTGAAATTGCCACTCTGACTGCAAAATTGAATACAAACAAAGATACATCCCAGACAGAAGGGGGCAGGACAGAAACCTCGTGCTGCCCGTGGATTGCCCAGGCTGGCCCACCAAGTGTACCTGAGAGGCCGAGGGTAAGCACTTTCTTTCCTGGGAGAAAGGGCTATTGTTCCCTTGCAGGAATCCTACACTGAAATTACCAGGCAGTCTTCAAAATTGAATCCAGACAAAGGTTCCTCCAGGAAAGAAGGTGGCTGGACAGAAATCTCATGCTGCCAATGGAGTGTGGAGGCCAGCCGACAACCTGGACCTTTGACCCCGAGTGTAAGCGCTTTCTTTGCCAGGAGAAAGGGCTGTTGTTCACTCGGAGATAAGCTGTGTTGAAATTGCCAGTCTGAGTCCAAAATGGAGTACGAATGAAGGTTCTTCCCAGAGAAGAGGTGCCAATCGAGAAATCTCTTGGTGCCCATGGAGTGCCCAGGCCGGTCCACCAAATACTCAGGACAGCCAAAGGCTACAGGCTTTCTTTCCTGGGAGAAAGGGCCGTTGTTCTCCTGCAAGAGTCCAGCGGTGAAACTGCCAGTCTGACTGCCAAAAGTGAATACAAACAAAGATTCCTCCGAGACAGAAGGTGGCATGGACAGAAAGCTCCTGCTGTCCATGGAGTGCCCAGGCTGGGCCTACAACCTGGACTCTGAACGCCGAGGGTAAGCACTTTCTTTCCTGGGAGAATGGGCTGTTGTTCGCTTGCAGGAATCCAGCGAGCTGAAATTGCCAGTCTGACTCCCAAATTGAATATGGACAAAGATTCCTCCCAGAAAGAAGAGGTGCAAGAACAGAAAGCTCCTGCTGCCCATGGATTGCCCAGGCTGGGTCACCAACTGCACTGGAGGCCCCGAGGGTAAGCACTTTCTTTCCTGGGAGAAAGGGCTATTGTTCGCTTGCCAGGAATCACTGCGCTGAAATTACCAGTCATGACTGCCAACATTGAATTCGGACGAAGGTTGCTCCAAGACAGAAGGTGGCTGGACAGAAAGCTCTTGCTGCCCATGGAGTGCCAAGGGCAGCCCACAACCTAGGACCCTTGACCCTGAGGGTAAGCACTTTCTTTCCTGGGAGAAAGGGCTGTTGTTCGCATGCAGGAATCC